TTTATTACACGACTCGGGCAGTCAGAGGGCCAATAACTAAAATCAACCAATCAAAATGCTCTATTGCCGGTCCAATATTCTCTAAGTATTGGACCGGGCACTGTCCCGAATGGTCCCGAATGATACCGCACTTGTGTCCCTTTGAACTTCAGTCGTATAATAAATCTCTTATTAACCAAGCTTGCTCGGGACCGTACTGGAAGAATATCGGCCCTCAGTCTTTTTTGTACGGACCTCGCTGCACTCGGTCCGTACTGTCAAGACCTCGGGCCGATATTCTCCCAGTACGGCCCTCGCGCTTGGTTAATAAGATATAAATATATATATATGTATGGCTTAGACGATACCCTCGCGCTTGGTTAATAAGATATAAATATATATATATGCATGGCTTAGACGATACCACAAAGGTTGGATCGTTTGGGGTGACCATATTGGTTCTCCTCCATCCTAGCATTAGCACTGCACTGATGAGGCCCAGAAGGCCGAAACAGTACTGTCTGCAGTTATATATGTATATATATATCCAGAGACATTTCTCTATATTTTTAAAGGTCATGGTGTCATCACTAAATAATTTGAACAGTGCCTGAACTGCTTTGTAAACCTTACATAGTGGAAAATCTCAATTGATTTACAGTCATTCACATGGAGTTTTCCACTTTTCATTGATTAGAACATATTCTACACACTCAAGTACACACAACACGACTTCATCAGTGGTAGAGCATTCAACCATAAAATTCTGTTGGCATGGGCTTTGAATCTTTAAGGACTAAAATGTTTTACTCAGTCCCATACTTTTGGTAAGTAATATTACCCTCTTTCATTTGAAGTGCAAACTCAAATAATTTTATGCCTTGCAATGCCTTGGTCAATCAATCCTCCCAGAAAGAGAACTTTCACTAAACCCTCAAACAAAACCCATGTCTGTTTTGAATTCAAATTAACCGGGCTAGTCAGCATAATGCTTGCATGAAACTTAAAAATCCAGACATTGATTCCCATTGAAACAGCATTTATAGCACGACTGTTTACCAACATAGGTTTTGTTTTTATCACTGTTTTCAAGTCTGCCATGAGGATATTTTGGCCGTGATCACATTGATGTGTCTGCATGTGCCAATTGTCCAAGGTAAAAAAAAAGTTCACTATGTCAAGGCAACAGCTTGTTATATTTCTTGTTCTTGAATTGCTTGCACGCAGGTGGTCCAATATTCACCATACTACGGAACTAAATTATCATAATCAAGTTGTTTCAACAGATTCCTTCATACATTCAATCGGTGCAGAGCACTGCTTCATCTCAGGGCAGTACTAAATGCAATTCATTTACTGAAACAAAACTGGGAATGATTTCCGTATAACCCCATACCAATAAAAAATAAAGCCGAAGTCCCAAAGGTAACCTGTTATTTTGCCTCGTTTCTTTTATCCAAGAATTGTATGCATAATAGAATTGTATGCATAATGAAGTATGGAGTTATACGGAAATCTTGCCCAAAACAGAGTCGATACCAGTGAAACGTTCAGAGTTTAATTTGAGCCAAATATCAAATAGCTTTGCAAACAACAAGTCCGAACAAAACACGTTAAAACTACACATAAAGTGAGTCGAATGTGAACATTCAAACAGCTGCACACATGGCGTGGTAATTATTGTACTCATTGCACAGACATTTCTGCTCCTTAGTTCTTGCATTTTGACCACTGTGACCACTTTTAGAGTGAAAGTCCACAGTCACTGTTAGTTTAAGTACTGTACGATGAACAAGAGAGATGGTATGGTATCACAAAGCAATGTTACATAAACACGATATGGCCACGACAGTCTACGCAATCAGCTTTACTCTTAGCCGCCAGCTGTAACGATTAAGAAGCCATCGGTTGTCAATATTACAGAATTTATGAGAAACAAGCATCGTGATAATTTTCTATGATAGATAGAGACCGGCATCTATGATTAAGAGCTACCGGTCGAGTATCTTCTTCCGACAATTGTACATGTAAAAGTTCAGTCGCCAAACAAATCGCCCATAACACTTACCCAAGTCGATAACATCCATTAGCATTACATACTAGCCAAGATGAAGATTTTTTTTCATCTCCAGCTGATTCTTCATTTTCTTTAAAACGTGCTAGACTTGGAGCGCTAATTCTCCTCGCCATTATTTATCAAAATTCGAAATACTAATTGCGGAGGACTGGGTCTACACGAAAATCACGCACTTCCCACGTTGCGTAAACAAGTTGCCTTCACAAAGGCAGCAGTTTTAACACTGAACATGGATATCGCGTAAGTTTTTCCGTACGTGAAACGCGTGTAAAGAGAAAAACTGTGAGGCGATGAAATAAGGTGAAGCTTTTTTTTTTTAATTTTTTCGCGTAATAACCTTGTTGGGAAAATGACCTGAAATCCCTTGCAAATCGTTGTCATTCGTAGCCATATTTGATATTGCGTGACGTAACCTACTGTTACCCTGCACTCACCTGAATGAAACACGAGGAAGTGGAAATTTCAACATATGCATTTACCCACGTAAACGTTCATTTCAACGGTCATGATTTAATATAAGGCACATTTACGTGCGTGGACAAAAAAGTGTGGTCTGATCGTCCGGGTGGGTGTAGTCCTGAGAAGGGCTGTTGTCGGTATTCATGACTGACGTTTCGACAACCTGAATGGAAGTCATCATCAGAGTCATGGGTTCCTGTCAGAATCAAATGACTCTGACGACGACTTCCGCTCAGGTTGTCGAAACGTCAGTCACCACTACGGACAACAGTATCATGACTACACCCACCTGGACGATCACACTTAACTATCACATGTTACCCCCGGGTTCAAACCACTTACTGTACCAGCTTCAGAAANCACGAAAGAAGCGTAAGAGTTACCCGAGGCGATAGCCGAGGGCAACTCTAGCTATCGCCTCGGGTAACTGTTACGCTTCTTTCGTGCTCTCCAAACTTCCCGCGTGCTCCATAACTCGATAGTGCACGCTTAAGCATGAACCAATTGTTAATTCGCTCTAAACTGAAACCACAACAGCGTATTCAAAGCAAAAAAATGCATAAATTAGCATCAAAATAACATCATCCCATAAGGCATAGCGCCAAGTCCATCTCATCGCCATTTTATTTCGATCTAAAGGAAGGTGGATGAGGCTTCATGTGGTCAAGAGGATCGTTATTCAGGAGCCGTCATCCCGTCTCAGGAGGGTCAAACGAGTAGCGGGGAAGGTAATGTCCATCCCGTTGCACTAGAGCAGCAGATTTTTAACCGAGGCGCTCACTTTGCTTCGGCGAGCCTTTCACGAGGATCGTGTGATTGGCGCTGACAGCGCAGCCAAATCTAACAGTAATTCTGCCGGAGCGTCCAAGGCTCAGACGGCACATGACACATTTTCCCCGGCGACCAAAAGGCCACGTGGGGCTGAAAATCCTTCAGACGAGATTCTTATCCTTGAGGTTGGTATTTCTGACTCGTCACAGCACACTTCTCATCCTTTAGGTGATGATAAAGACGAGGATGAATTTTGCCACAGTGCGCGTTGGCAAGCGAGTGAAGAATTATCCTCATTTTTAGGAAAATAACATAAGCCTTTATCTGCCTTTGAGCGAAAGGCAATTACCAGAAAATACTCTCGCCCGGATGTTGATTCGATATACACTCCTGCCTTGCATAATTATCTCCTAAGTCTTGTCCCGGGTATCAAGACCGCAGACAAGGTTTTTGCGAGACCGTGTGCTGGGCCCGATTTCTATGTTATTTGAACTTGTCTACGGCTTTCTTGCTGAAGCCAAGCCAGGCGAAAATGTGACTCTCAGTTTTGAGCAGTTGAAATATCTCGGTGCAATTTCCTCTAATGCTATTCGCCTATTGGGTAATGCCTTTGCGCTTCTATCCAAGGAGAGGCGCAAGACTGTGCTGAACAAGATCAATTCCAAGGGCACTCTGTCCTCTCTTGCCTCTGAGGAGTTCCCCCAGGCTGAAAAAGATGTATTTGAGTGGTTTTGAGACAAGAATTAAAACCAGACCAGAAACAGCAAAAACTTTGCTTCAAGCTGCTTCAGTGGGTAACGCCTCCCGATCTACTCAGTTTTTTCGACGCCGCAGCACCCCTTACAGAAGACGAGGGAACCGCTGGGGTGGTGTGAGTCGTGGGTTCCAGTACACAAACACCTTCAATCAGTTCAGGGGTTCCTTCAGGAGTAGGGGAAGGTCCCCACTGGGATCTCTGCACCAAGTCCCGCCAGCCAGCCAGTAGAAAGGCCTCCCCACTTATTACCAGGTATGAGTCTCAATTTATATCCGTTAGAAGTAACCCACCTTCCTCTTGCAGGGCGTCTAAAACATTGCATACCAAATTGGGGTCTTGTAAGGGCAGACCCTTGGGTTTTAGAAACCGTTCAGGACTATCACCTAGATTTCGTGGCTGCCCCTCAACAGTCCTCTCTTCCTCTACCTGTGCTTCAGTCAAAGGAGAATTCGGATCTTATCGATCGGGAAATTCAGCATATGCTAGAGAAAGTAGCTGTTCGTGTGGTTTCCCCAGGGAACACGCAAAAAGGTTTTGTGAGCACCATCTTTCTAGTCCCAAAAAAGTAGGTGGTCAGAGGTTTGTAGTGAACCTCCGGGCGCTAAACCAGTTTCTCTCTTACGAACATTTCAAAATGGAGGGCATTCATATGTGAAGGGACCTACTAAGGAAAGGGGACTTCATGGTTAAGATAGACCTAAAGGATGCCTATTTCACAGTGCCCATATGGAAGAACCACCAAAAATATCTGAGGTTCATTTGGAAAGAAATAATGTACGAGTTTTCTTGCCTTCTCTTCGGCATGTCAAGCGCTCCCAGGGTTTTCACGAAGCTCTTGAAACCAGTCGTAGGCCATCTGAGACAACTGGGTATCACACTCATCATTTATTTAGACGATATCCTGATTATGGTTGCATCCTTTGCCCTCGCCCTTCAACACGCCTCCACTGCCCTAGATCTTCTAGAAGGGCTAGGCTTCATGGTAAACTATCAAAAGTTGATACTAGTCCCTGCGACACAAATGGAATTTCTAGGTTTTGTAGTAGACTCCCTCGCACTGACCCTTGCGCTTCTCCGGGACAAAATCAGGAAAGTAAGGAAAGAATGTTAGCATTTGATAGATTCTCCTCTTGTCTCAGTGCAACAACTAGCCAAGTTGTTGGGCCACCTTACCTCTACCATTCAAGCTGTCTTTCCCGGGCCCCTACACTTCCGTCACTTACAAACCAAAAAAAACCAGGGCTTACCAGCAGTCTCTGACTTAGGAGTCTTTAACTCACCTTTCCCCACAAGCCAAAGAGGAGTTAATTTGGTGGAGGGACAACCTGGAAGCTTGGAATGGGAAACCCCTTGTTTCGGGGGGCGCCAGATCTAATAATCGAGACAGATGCCTCGCTAGGGGGTTGGGGAGCGTTTTGCAACGGGGTGTCCACAGGGGGTCATTGGTCCCAGGNTTGTGAGGGGATACGCCTTCCCTCATTTTGCTCTAGTTGGTCGCTGCCTGAGAAAGCTGCTAGACGAGAGTGTGCCACACCTTGTCCTGGTCGCATCGGTTCGGCAGCCCCAACCATGGTATCCTCTGCTTCTCGAATTGTGTGTAGCATCCCCCCATTCTCTTCCCCCGTTACCAAGGCCTGTCGACACTGCAAGGCGAGGCTCACCGCTTGGTGAACCTCCCGTTAGCAGGCTGGTTACTATCCGCCAGTCATACACGCAGGCGGACATTTCACAGCCAACTCAGTCCTTACTTCTCGCAGCCTGGAGGGGTGGAACATCCAAAGCCTACGAGTCTGCTTGGGGAAAAAGGCATCGCTGGTGTAGAGAGCGGCAACTTAATTCGTTTCAGGCTTCTGTAGAATCCATCCTAGAGTTTCTTACTTCGCAGTTTAATCTTGGCAAAGCTTATAGGACTCTAAATGTTTACCGGTCTCGCTTCCTAGTACTCACCCCAAAATTGACTCAGTGTGGGTTGGGGAACACCCCAAAGTGGTGCAACTGTTCAAAAGGGCTTTCAATCTAAGGCCTCCTTTACCTCGTTATTCTAGTACCTGGGATGTCAACCTTGTGGTTTCGTTTATTGACCGGTTGGGTGCTAACGAGTCTCTTTCCCTTAAGGGTTTATTCCAGAAGCTAGGTTTTCTTTTGGCCCTCACTGCTATGGAAAGGGTGCCGGAAATAGTTTCCCATGACCTTAGGTACAGACGTTACATACCCGAGGGAGTTTCCTTTCTGCTTCCGGACTTGACCAAGAAATCTAGCGTAGGGCAGAGCCTGAAGACATCTTTTCATGCCGGTTTCCAGGATAATTCTAACTTGTGCGTTGTGAAGTGTCTTAAGGAATATGAGACCCGCACTTTAGGATTTCGTCTTTCGGACCTATCACAGCCCAACAAATTTTTGCTGTCGTACATTCGTTCACATAAGCCAATTTCTAGTGCTTCCCTTAGTAGGTGGTTAAAGGATTTGATTTCTCGGGCAGGTATTGAGTATATTTAAAGCTCATTCAGTTAGAGGAGCTTCTTCGTCTGCCACCTTTGAAATGGGGGTGTCATTACGAGATATTTTGGATCTTGCTGATAGGTCAACTGACTCTACCTTTCGACGTTTTTAATATAAGCCTACACACAATATTAACGTTGCAACGACACTACTTAGGGGGCACAACTCACCAAACTCCTGAACATGACCTGCTTCAAAGTCACATTGTTATCATGAGGAGGCGACTGTTCTGATGTATAATCACAGATTATGCCAGGGCTGCTTGCAGCCTGCAGTATAAGATGGATTATGCGAGGATAAAGGAGACGAGTATAACAATGTCCCTCCTGCTCCTCCCTTCGCCTCTGGTGTGGATATTGGGTCATGTTCTTGTTGGATATAGTTAAGTGTTAACCTATTGTTCCCTTTTTTCTTTTCAGCTGTTTTTGTTGCAGGAGTTTCCTGGTTTGTTGCGTTGTTCAAGTTTGAAAGCCTTTTTCCGCCACCGGCTCTTCTGGTTGTCGCTCAATAAAATGGCGATGGGACTCGGGGCTATGCCTTATGGGATGGTGTTATTTTTATGCTGATGTATGCATTTTTTCTTTGAATACGCTGTAGTGGTTTCAGTTTAGAGCGAAATCAGTAAAGTTGGTAACAC